AGATTTGTATATAATTATAATTATATATATTAGTTGTATATGTATATTTTGTATATATAACTAATATATATACATATAAATCTTATTTTTAATATATATTATATGTATATATGTTAGTTATAATTAGTTTTATTTTAATATGTATATTATGTATGTATATAAATTTAATTATAATTATTTTTATTTTAATATATATGCATTAGTAATGATATATATATATATATTGTAGTTATGTGTATATGTATTTTATTAATTATAAATAATTTTTTAATATATATATTTGTATATATATATGTGTGTGTGAATTTATATATATATATTAATTTAAATATATGTAGATAAAATTTTGAATATTTAATAATATTTTTTTGCTGAATCATCACTTTTTTGCTGAGTCATTGCTGACTCAGCAATTTTTTGTCGAGTGAATAGTAACTTTTAACGACGTTAACGGATGAGTGGTTGATTTGGAAAAAAATTAAAAGTTTGGGTATTTATGTGGAAGTTATGAAAAGTTTAGGTATTTATATGAAAATTTTATAGTTCGGGTATTTATGTGGGAGTTTTGTAAAAGTTCGGGTATTATTATGCGATTATCCCTTGTTAATATAATACATAAAAATCCTATATTATTTAATAGATTTATATATAAAACAATATCATTATTAATATTATACGAATAATGTAAAAATGTTTATATTCTTTTATTTATTCATTTCTTTATATATATATATATATATAATGTGAATACTATTATTTTAACTTTACATAATATATATAGTAATTTTTTTTGTATAGTCATATCAATATTTTTTATAATAAAATAAAAAATTATTCACGCATAAACATAAAATAATATATATTAATATACATGCATAAACATACATACACATATACATATATATATATATACATATATACGCATACATATATATATATATATAACGATTTAATAGAGAGGTTCATCTTTTGTATATTAAAATCATATCCATAAATATGGTATAAAATATTAATATGCCTAAATATAAACGCATATACATATATAATATCTATATACATATATGATATATGCTCACATATGTTTTTATTTCTTATTTTAATATATTTTATTATTTATACAAATAAAGAATAAAAAATATGAGATTAATAATCAAATATAAAAATAATTAGATCTGTACATATATGTACACATACATATATACACACATATATTTACATACATATATATATACATCTATATACATACACATATATATTTACTTCTATTCTATGCATGTTTTTTTGGGTAACTGGGTTTCCTAGGTAATTCCAAAGTCGTGAACCAGCCATATGATTTGAATTATGCACTCTCTCCCCCCAGTTTGAGTTCGAATTCGGGGCAGGACAAACGTTTTGCGTCCCCGTTTCATGGTTGAACTACCCAAGTTGCGTCTATTCTATACATCTTGAATGCATCATTCCTTTTTTTTTTATGAGTTTTTCCTTTTCGTAAAATTACTATAACTTGAAAATGAATCTAAATCCTTCATGTTTGTTTTTTAGAATTATCCCATCCAAATAATTTGTGATCGAACATCTAAGTAAGACTAACCATAATGTTTAATATCCATAAAAAATTGAATTCACATATCCATATATCTCGTAACATGCATATGAACAAATCTCATACTATATACAGGAAAATATACAACAAACCTTTAAGCATATATAATTATATATATAAGTGAGTGATGTGTTAAAGATTAAATAATTATCAAATACAATTATTTATATCATACAGATTAAAGTAAACAGAATCTATAGTTTAAAAAGCTTGGTAAAATAAAATGTATATTAATGAAAAAATAACAGTAACAGTTAGAAAATAAGAATTTTACTAACAGTACTTAATTTTACAGAAACCAAACCTGAAAACCAAAACTGTTCAATTACATTGCATGAACATATTGTCTTTTTACCTCTCATTTTTTCGGTTGTTCTCCATTTGTGATCTCATTTACCATTAGATCAAGGTGAGCTCTCCTCTCATCCTTTCTCTTTTTAGTTCCAAACACCTCACATTTCTCAATCCGGACGACTCGGCAGCCGCCCACGTTTTCTATCCCTCTGTTTCGCTTGCAAACACCATTACGCCTTAGTTGTTCGTTGTTGTTTTTATTATAGGATAGCAATCAACATATTTATAATAAAGAGCCGTTTATTTTTTATACGTAATAAAGAACTTTTTATGATTTAATCATAATAATTTATAATAAATCAATATTCTGAAACGTAAAATCATGAAATATAAAATTATTCATTTCTTACCATACTCTTCTTCATTAATGCATTCCACTTACCATTAAAGATTTAAATAGCCAATATAAATTAAGAAAAATATCACATAATTATGTATTCCTTATTATCCTATTTTCATTAATGCATTTTATTTAAAAATAAAAATTTAATAACCAATAAAAAGTACCACATAGGATGATAATGCGGTTTCACCGTATAGACACACACACACACACATATATATATATATATATATATATATATACAATTTGTTTAACTCACCAAAATTTATAAAATTTATGTTTTTAACTTTATTAAAAATAAAATTATTGTTATTTTTCCTTTTAAAAAAGTTAAGTTAATATTGATAGAATATTTTTTTACGAATTTTGAATTACTATATTTATACTTAAAATCAAACATATTCTATGGATCCAGTTTTCCTTCACCACTAATTTACTATCATAAACGTAGATACAAAAGGATGTCAAATATGTCAGATTTCACATGAAAGGGCGTCTCACTCACGTGGACAGATGATTCTCTCGAGTCGGACTGTGATATACATGAGCTCACCCATTTTGGACAGCGCCACTTCACTCACACCTCCTCCTCCTCCTCCGCCATTGTCGTCCCAGTAATATTCCAACGTCCATCGTGAAGCGTCCCCACTGTCGACACAACTCTCTATTATGCTGCTTTGACCTCCCTCATCGTGACGCCTTGTTTCTTTTCGCTGCGGTATGTTCACCACGTAGAGCATATTTTCTTGATGAATGTATTATATCACCTAACGTACCGATACTTTGAGGGGAAAAGCAGCCTGCAATATAATATATATATATATATATATATATATATATCATTTGAGAATAAAACACATGTAAAAAAAGGTAATGAAATGTTCTGACACTACCCTCACCGGAAGTTTCAAAAAGTGGTTTCTTGTCTGTTAACTCGACAATAAGCTCTGTGGCATGATTCTGTAGAAAGTCGTATCCAATAGCATTGAAATTGAGAATGAAACCGTTTTAATGTCATCTGCTTTAGCCAATTTCTTTGTGAAAATATTTCGAGGTCGTTATATAGTACATGTACTTAAGTATTGGTAATGAATACTCTTCGTCAGTTTTTATTATTGGGCTAACTAAACGTTTTGTCCTTTTATTATTGTGACGTTACATTTTATTACTATTGGAGCCTCCTTTTTTTTGGTAAAATGTAGAGGCACCACTTCTTCTTTATCATATCTCCTATTTACTCTTATTTATTAATCCATGAGCCCACTTACAATATAAGTTTTTACGCCAGAATAAAAAACTACCATTATTCTTGAATTAATTCCTATTTATTGTTAATGTTACCAATCAAAATTAAAAATAATTATTGATTAATTTTAATTAAGAAAATTTTTATAAACCAACTAATCTTAGAAAATATCATATTTTTCGTATATAAAATTAGTGAACTGTTATATTTTTTAAAAGATGTGTCATCTAACTTTTTTAAATCTTTTTTCATGTATAAAAATTTATGATAATCAAATGAATTTATATATATTTAATAAAGATTTTAAGTAACCAATGAGAATTAAAAAACTTGACACATGAATGATGATGTGGATCTTAGGTGTCTTCACCCGAATCCTTTAAACCTTATTATTATATATATAGATTCCGTTTGTAGAGTAACCCAAACAGTTATTGCATCGTTTTTCTTTCCCCTTCAATTTTATTTATCTACAAGCGAATCCCTTCCATCCCCCCAACCACTAGTTCCTCTAGATGAGACAGAAGTTCTATCTTTATGTATTTGAAATTTGAAATCGACAGTCCATTGGGCCTACATTCCTTATTATTCCCAATTAGCCTAAGCGAATTATTTGTGGCCCAAACATAATACTTTAACTGTTTGTGGGCCCAATGGGCTCATTACGTATGTTCATCATGTCCACAACGGAGAAACTAAAACCTCGAAATTCCCGACGTTCTCCCACAAATCCGAGCGTCTTCCTCTGTGTCCGTACTGCATTGAATCGAAGTTCGGACCCTCCACTCGCAGAAGAACGGTTTTTCTATTTTATATTCTGGAGGAGGAAGACAGGGATGGGAGCTGGGCGGGAGTTTAGCATATCGCTCGACGGCGTCAGGGATAAGAACATGATGCAGCTGAAGAAGCTCAACACGGTTCTGTTCCCGGGTCGCTACAAGGACAAGTACTACGCTGACGCCCTCGCTTCCGGCGAATTTACCAAGCTTGGTTCGGTTTCTATTTTCGCTTTCTCTTGATTTTCGTGTACCCTTAATTTTTTTTTCTTTGCTTGTGCGATGACTAGTGATGGGCATCGATTTGCTTTGTATTGTGTTGTGTGTTCTCTGTTTGTTTCCAATGTCGGTGTTCTAATGGTCATGTTGGTTGCTTTAGAAATTATAATTGTAAACTGATATATCGGTTGGCATGTGAGTTGAGATGAATCGAACAAGCAATGGCTTTCGTTTGTGTTTACACAGTCCCTTTGCCACTTGGGTTCGTGAGATTCTCTGTTTATTTTTTATTTTTATTTTTTATCATGGATGGTCTTTTGGTTTCTATTGCTAAATGTTTCATTGCCAGACATTATGGCTTGTAGTTTGATCTATTGCCGTTGGTAATGATGCGTTCCATCTGGGTTTCTTGGCGGCTATGCATTTTCCATTTTAGCTGAGAGAGATGTAGGAAGAAATGGATGTTAAGTATTTACTTTGTTAAATTTAATGCTTTTCTTTCTTGCTAAGTGTTGGCAACACCAAGCAAGTGTGTGCACCGAATGGATATATTTGAAGTTTATGATTAGATCTTTACATAAGTCTTTGTGATTTATCGATTCATATCAATCAAATCCTTTAGGCGATGTACGGTACACCTCTCTTCCCCTCTTTGACTCTATGAAATGAAACCGCTGCTCAGACAGCAATTTCTGGTTCCTTGGAAATTGGCTGTGTTCATTTTGGTGAAAGGCCAACAACTTTTATGCCAAATCAGTTTTTTCCTTTACTTACATTGCATACTGAGATGCAATGCAACTAACCAAGTTTGAGCGATCTTTAAATCTTTAGCAATATTTAAATTCTAAAACTTTATATAGCATCAAATGCAGCATGAACTATCCCATCCCTGGCGAATTTCGTTTATTTTTTCTGCAATCATGACACATAACATGATGAATACTCTTTCTGTGTTCTAACCACAGTTAAGCTTCCTTTCAGCATATTACAGTGACATTTGTGTTGGGGCTATTGCTTGCCGGTTAGAGAAGAAAGAAGGTGGAGGTGTTCGAATTCACATAATGTCACATGGTGTCCTTGCACCATATCGCGGACTTGGAGTGGGTGAGTGATAAACCCTCTATATCCTATCTGCTATGTAGATTGTATTCTGATGGATGGAACTGGTATTGAAAATTATTGAAACTTGGGCATTATCTGGTGTATATTAAACCCAAGCGTTGGCCAAAACTTGTTTTTTTTTAATTAGTTTTGTATGTTTGTGATAAGTGTCCCACATTGAAAAAAAAAGAGGGATTTGGGGCCAATATATAAGGAAGGGTCAAACCTCTACTCCACTCTTAAGCTAGCTTTTGTGGTGGAGTTAAGGGCCTAAACCTTATTAATTGGTATCAGAGTCTGGTTCTCTACTTTCCGGTGAGCTTTGACGGGCCATTCTCATGCGAACATGCGGTCGACACAGTGGCTGTGGAACGATCAGGAGAAGAACGGTCGGAGATGGACCGAGAAGCCGCCAGCGACCAGATTTGCTCCAGCACCGTGGACGTCGCTGTCTAAAGGGGGCGGTATTGATAAGTGTCCCACATCAGAAAAAGAGAGGGATTTGGGGCCAATATATAATGAAAGGTCAAACCTCCACTCTTAAGCTAGCTTTTAAGGTGGAGTTAGGGGCTAAACCTTATTAGTTTGAAAACGTAACCATCTTGGCAGATTGTTGGTTCAGTAATTTCTCTTCAAAACCCAACTTTTACTCCGTTTCGGTTCTTGTTTGTAGCTAGTAAAAGATGAGAATTGGTGTTGATATGTTGCTTTAATATTTTTAATGAGGTCTATCCTTCATCGAGCTTGATTTTCTTGAATATCAAGGTAATTCAGATCTCTTCGTTGAGTGAATTTCTGAGTTAATGATCTCAATTCATGGGGTTGTTTTTGCAGGTTCGAGGCTTTTGAACCATGCCCTTGATCTGTGCTCGAAGCAAAACATCTCCGAGATATACTTGCAGGTGCAAAAAAAAAGTGAAGATGCAATCAAGTTTTACAAGAAATTCGGGTTTGAGTTCACAGATACCATTCGGAATGATCACAACAACATCCAGTCACCGGATTGCTATGTCGTCTCGAAGTCCTTCCCCAGCCTCAAGTGAACAAATGAACAATGATCCATCATTTTTTACGAGTCGGAGAAAAACCATTCTTTCCTCCTTGTTCATTCGTTTTCTCTGTTGCATCACTCTTACCATTTCCCATATGATGGCCTTTTTCCTTCAGTAATGATCAAATGGGATCAAAGCCTTGATTTCATTGAGATACCTACCAAAGGGCAACGGCTATAATGTCGTCTAGGTTCTGCATTTGGACATTGTGTTTTGTTATTGGTAGCGTTTTTAGCACATGCGAAGGTGTATTGTCACTCGTTTTTGTGGGGAAGATCAATACATAAGTGGTGAGTTGAGTTGATTGCAGTTAGATGTGTGTTTGTTGGTGGAAGATGAAACCCTCCAAGTGACTCAGAGGCATTTAGCTTCTGAGCTTGCGTGCCGTTTTGTCCGGACAGAAAAACGGCACGTAATTCTATTCAGTCAGCGATTGGCCCAAACAAACAGGAAGGATGCCCATTCTTTCTTTGCACGATCCTCTTAGTCTGTCGCTAAGCGAATCCACTTATCATCATCTGAGAGTAACTCACGATTTCTGTCCGAAGCTTCTTCTTGTCTTCTTCTTCTTGGCCCGCTTTTTTCTGCGCCTCTTTTCACCTGAGTCCCGAGAAAATCAAGCGTTTTCTCTTCTCCGTCTTCCATGTCCAGAATTTGAGATTGGTTTTGTGATATCTATAGAATTTCTTTAATGGGTCGTTTCAACTTCAGAATTTCCCGTTGATATTCATCGATTTCTGGAGCGTGGAAACCCCATTTCTCTTGATGGGTGCAGCTTCTGCCAGTTACCCATTTGGATTCTCAGCTCGATTCGACGGGAACTTCAATCTGAAATCGGATATAGCGGTTTCCAAGTTCCCGTGTACGATAGAAGTCTCCAGAAACAGTTTGTTTCAAGCTCCAAATTCAACTTCCAAGGTACAAGCTTTTTCTTCTAATTTGATTTCTCGTCTGTATAGTTCTTTCTTTTGACTGAAATACCTATTAAAGTCTGGGTTTTGAACATTTTTCAATACGAATCTTTCCAATTGTAGACATTTCGTTTATGCAGGGATTGGTGAACAGAGTTCGGGCATGTTCTTTTCCAAAGACTGATGATTATTGCGAGGAGAAAGTTCAGACACCATTGCTAGACAGTATCGAGAACCCGTCCCATTTGAAGAACTTGAGTGTTCAGGTCAGAGTATCAATGTCTTAAACTGCACATACATAGATGATAAGGGGGCTTGGGGGGTTATTGAGGATTGGTGTTGAATTGTAGGAGTTGAAGCAATTAGCCGATGAAATTCGGAAAGAGCTGCTTTCCGTTCTTTCGAAGACCCAGAAGTCATTCAAGCCCGGCTTGGCTGCCGTAGAACTCACCATTGCTCTGCATTACGTTTTTCATGCTCCCTTCGACAAGATATTGTGGGATTCTGCTGAACAAGTAAAGCTTATGCCTTGGAAAATTTGAGTTTTTGAGAGGAATGGCGATAGTATTGTGTTTTGGGTGGGAATTTTTATCTGTTTTTTTTTTGGGGGGATTTAATTGATTTGTGAATTGTGATTATATGTAGACATATGCACACAAAATCTTGACCGGAAGGCGGTCTCTGATGCCTATGCTGCGACGAAAGGATGGAATCTCGGGGGTCACTTCCCGTTCAGAGAGTGAATATGATTCTTTTGGAACTGGGCATGGCTGCAACAGTATTTCTGCTGGCCTCGGTAGCAAATTATCGTCTTTTCTTCAAGATTCTTCAGCATTTAGCTTATTGCCTCATATAACTGCCACTCTAAAGAGCTATTCACCAGTTTTGTGATTTACCGAACCTTTTTCCTTTTTGTTGTTTCTTAGGATTGGCTGTTGCCCGGGATGTCAAAGGAAAGAAAGAACACGTTGTTGCTGTGATAGACAGTGTGACAATAACCGCGGGTCAAGCTTTTGAGGCGATGAGCAATGCAGGTTACTTGGATTCTAATATGATAGTTATATTAAACGATAGTCGCCGATCTTTTAATCCGAATATGGAGGAGGGATCCAAAGCATCTATCAATGCCTTATCTAGTGCCATGAGCAAAATACAGTCCAGCAAACTTTTTCGGAAACTTAGAGAAGTAGCCAAGGTACGGATTTCTCCATATCTTCTTTATGAATTCTATGGCTCTTATAATTTTGATGATGTGAAACAAAATAGTTATACTAGCAAAATATAATATGCAGATACAAATGCCTAAGACATTTGGTGTGGAAAATTCATGTGTATCTATTTCCTAATTACATGCTCTTTTGTAGTTCTTGGGATCCTTTATCTATTTATAGAATCAAGCATCTGTTTTTATAACCTATTCGGGTTTTTCGTTATGTGAAATTCTGAAACTACTAAGCCTCGAGACTTTGTAGGAGACCAAAACTTAAATAAGTATGGAATATTCAACTTAGACTTGGGTTCAGTAACCAATATTGTCGATTTTCTTTGTTTTGATTGTGAATTTCTTCCAGGCTATGACTAAAAGAATCGGAAAGGGCATGCACGAATGGGCAGCCAAGGTCGATGAATATGCACGTGGTATGATGGGTCCACCTGGGTCAACTCTCTTCGAAGAGCTCGGTCTATACTACATCGGTCCCGTTGATGGACACAACATTGAAGATCTAGTTTGTCTTCTGCGAGAAGTAGCTTCTCTAGATTCAATGGGGCCTGTCTTAGTCCATGTGATCACGGAAGAAAACCGAGCTTTAGAAACCGAAAACAATGTCGAAGCAGAAGGTATATCACCTTATGTTATTTGTTTTGATCCTGTAGCATTTTTCTTCCTCAAAAAATTGGCTTTGATTGTTCATTATGTGTATCAGACAACGATGAAATGCCATATATATACAAACGCACATACGGGGACTGCTTCGTGGAGGCGTTGGTAATGGAGGCAGAGAAGGATAAAGACGTAGTTGTAGTTCATGCGGGAATGGAGATGGACCCGTCACTTCGTATGTTTCGGGAGAGATTTCCAGAGAGGTATTTCAACGTGGGAATGGCCGAGCAGCATGCAGTTACGTTCTCGGCTGGCCTCTCGTGCGGAGGTTTGAAGCCCTTTTGCATAATCCCCTCGGCTTTTCTACAGCGAGCTTATGATCAGGTTCATACTACTACTACTCTCTTTTCTCTCCTTTGCAGCATTTGCTCCATGTATACATATACATATACATATACACACATACACACACACGCGCACGCGCACACGCACACGCATGCATGCATGCATGGCACAAACCATAAAGATTAGGGAAAATAATCGGTTCCTTGTGAAATCTAATGGATATGTATATGAAATGGAAGATTGATGGAATATGGCATGTTTTTGTAACAGAATGCCCATGTTCCATGCTCTGTAAAGCCATTTCTCCTTGCAGCATTTGCACCATGTATATATATATATGTATGTACGGATACACACATGCATGACACAAAACATGCATACAGAAGGTAAGGAAAGTAATCGGTTCCATGCCATTGTTCGTTTCTTTTTAGGTGGTACATGATGTAGATAGACAGAGTATCCCGGTTCGATTCATCATCACGAGCGCTGGGCTGGTTGGATCCGATGGTCCAGTCCAGTGCGGGGCTTTCGACATAGCTTTCATGTCGTGCTTACCGAACATGATAGCCATGGCACCAGCCGACGAGGATGAGCTCGTAAATATGGTTGCAACTGCAGCTTCCATCAATGACCGGCCAGTCTGTTTCCGGTATCCGAGGGGTTCCATCGTGAAAAAGAACTACCTCATCCCCACCGGAATACCCATCGAAGTAAGTGCCCCAAAGATTCAAACTTTGGTATGAAATTTTTTGTTTTTTTTTTCCGGGTTTTAGTAGGCATGCCTCTGTTTCCTGTATTTTATCCCGAGCTGTCCCTGAAACCGTGGTTAATCATATTAGAGCAGATCGGAAG